ACAGTCTATGCATGATATGTCTATGCATGATAACAGTGGAAAAAATGACAAGTTGAGACCTGTGTACTTTCTCTGAAACTTTACTTTTTTTTTTTTACTTTACTTTAGATTTTTAACCATAATAATAATGGCCTATAATTATGTGATTCAATCAAAGAAAAGTAATATGTGGTTAAGAAGAAGTTTCTTTGTAGAAATGAATGGAAAGTCATTGTGCTTGGCTTGTACAAGTAAGACTAACGAGCAATAGCAATAATTGTAGAATTGCAACAATTTTGCTATTGTTATATTGCTGATATCTAGGAAATGAAAAGTACCTCACGTTTTCAATGTTTCTTTATGTCATGTAATGTCCCTTGAACTTTGCCTTTTGCCAATCCTGTTTTGCACATAAAAACACAAGCTCTGCTATTTATGAAATAAGGCATGCTTCTTCACACTTACAGTATCAGCACATGCAATGTTGGCCTTATCAGTCTCTTAAACAGAGTTTACAGGTGATAACTAACACTAATCACTCATCTCAGAGCCTGTACAACTTGCTTTTCAGACCTTCAGCAACTGATATACAGTTTATCAGCACATTCCCCCAGTTGACAAAGGTAATGGGTTTCTAAATTAGCTGTCAAAGGTATTAACATGTAATATAAGGGAAAATGAAATCCCATTACTTCATAAATATAAGCTCAAACCCCTTTTGCAAAGTATAGAAAATTGCTCAGTATTACTTATTGTCATCTTAACAGTAATGATCTTTCAAAATAAGAACACTATTGCATGTTTATGATAAAGAACTCGTTATTTTTCGTACAGTGGTCAACAAGACAAAATATATAAAATTTGTGTTTAGTATGTTTAGCACACCAAGGTTGAAGGTAAATTAAATGTCTTTCAACCACTCACTTTTTGAAGTTCCATATCTTTCTATGTTTTTACTATCATGGGACATGCTTTCTTATTTTCTTTGCTTTTAACACACCTGGAAAGTAGTGGAAGTACTTCCCAATAGGTGCTGAATACAGTAAGCACATTAATCTCATGCTCTTTCACACTTTTCATTTTTCACTGTTAAAACCCATAAGTATTTTAATTTTTTTATTTTCATAATTATTGATATTATAGTATTAAAGGCTATGTCAAAACTTAAAAGTCACCCCAACTGTGTGGTCTCCATTTACTTAGGAAAATCCAGGATTGTCCTCTGTCTCCCCTCCTTTTTGCATTTGCATTTGAGCCTTTGGCACTATTGTTACACAATATGCAATAGATTCATGTTATGGATCATGGGGACATGGAGTAGAAGGTATCTTTATATACAGATGACCTCTTGTTGTAGGTATCAAGACCATCTGTTTTCATCCCTAATATTTTATTTTCAAATAGTTTGTTTCAGGGTATAAACTGAATCTGCACAAAACTGAGCTACAACCTATTAATAATAATAATAATAATAATAATAATAATAATAATAATAATCATAATAATAATAATA